TTAAAAAAGGACTTGATGATTACTGAAGATTCTGAACGGACCCCATGAATTAAACATGCCACAATACTACGACACATGCTAAGCATTCAAAAAATTTTCAGCTTACTTGGCCAGGACAAGTACGCTCATTTCACATATCAAAACAGTTCCATGTAAAAAGGCAAAAACACATTCTGAAAATTCTGTTTTTAATACATGTATAAGAATTAGAAAACACATATTAGTCTACAGTGCAAGTAAATTATGACCCAAGTCCAAGCCCCTAAAAACCCGGCAGAATAGCAGGGTCTTAAACTTTTGGATTTTTCAAACCCTGTTCAAGGAGAGAGTTTGATGATAAAATTCTAGCTTAGAGCTAGGCACTCCAATTTGGACATATTTATAACCATCTGAGCACCAAAACAAAACCATAGCCTTATCCAGTATTGTGTGGACAAATCACAATCGAAAACTCAGTTCAACTACCACTCCCCATCGCTCTTCCTACCCCAGGGCTGTGGCAAAATTTGACTAGACTAGTGCATACAATGTACATGTATGTAAACCACAATGTTTTTTTTTTTTTTGGGGGGGGGGGGCTAAGGGTACATAAGAAACAAATCTATATATCTGTCCTATAAGCAAGCGTTACACATGTTCATCCATTAGTGTTTTTTGTCAATTTAAAAATTTGATAAATTACATGTCAAATACGGTTTATCAAAGTCCTTATCAATTTGCTTGCAAAATTTACTACACACTAAAAATATGCATTGTAGGCTTTCTTATCATGCATTGCGCAAGTACATAAAGTGGTATAAAAAATAACAAGTTTTTCGGTTAAAGCTGCATGCATCTAGATGAGAATTTGAGAAAACAAAGATTCAAAATATTAAAGTTTTGAAAATAGTTTTATGAAATTTAAAATATGTTTAACTTTAAAATAATTTTTTTATGTATAAATTTAAAATATGTATACATGTAACTCCATTGTATTCACAATTCCTAATACAATAATGCATTCTAAGTAACATACCAATAAATTGATTAATTCTTTCATTTAATTCTATGTCTCATATCATTTAGCCAGATAAACTATCACTAAAATAATGATTTCTTGTTAAGTACATGTCAACTAATCTAAAGTTGCAAAGACACTAATGAGGTATTTACAAGCATCCATGTACCATTCTTAAATTAACATAATTAAACAGGAGATAATTTATCCATATCTTTTATATTAGCCCCTAATGATGATAAAGAACATATTAATGTTTTTTCTGTGACATTACATTTATACCATATAATGTCTGAGATTGAAACAAGGGGTCATCCAATTTAATATCAAAGATATTCACTTATTCTTTGAAAATCTATGACTTAACAAACTACTATCACAAAAAAAAAATGTTTGTGTCCCTCACATTAATTAGCACTCAATATAATAGTAACTTTACCTTCAGGGGAATGGCCCAAGCAGAGGGGAAAACTGAAGTTAGAAATTGATAAAACAGTCCATTTTTGTCAAATTGAGATAAAAAAACATTATTTCATGTGACTCTTACTCTATCTCACTATTGCAATAAAATGAATCTCAAAATTTTTACTTAAGGAGGGGATTCTTATCAGAAATAGGGGAAAATATATATTTACACCATCTTCTGAAGGCCCTAAATATCAATGAGTATTACTCAGTTAGTCAGTAACACAGTTTAAAGGGAATCAAATTTAGATAAACTCATAAAACTTGTCAACCGTCAGTTTAAAGTATACCTTAATGACTTTATTACTAAATTAATGTCAAATGTACAGTAACAGTACTTTAAATTCAATAATTTTCAAATAAGCAAAAAGTGTAATCGCAATAATTAGTACGAAAAAACCAACATTTGGTCATTTTTTTTCACCCAAAGTTTGTTCAACCCCCAGTATGATTATAATTATTAATCTATTCCACACAGGGTTACAAAGGAGAAAATGAAGATGTGTATAAAGTAAGGGTGGAGTGACAGGTTACACGGTTGCTGTAGGCAGACAGGTGTTTGTATGATTGACATATCACTACTATAGCCAACATAATGCTGTCAGGCAGATCTCATTATTAGACGAGACATATATGACAACTCTATACACTGGTCACTTGCAAATCATGTGAAAAAAAAACACCAACAATCCACACTAAATGACCAAAGCATAACTTCTAAACAGACCAATTACTACTGAAGAAGGGGGAAAAAAAGTGTTCATAAATGACACCAAATTTGCATGTCATCTCCAATTATGTTGTTGTACATGTGTTATTAACATATGACTTAACCTTCACCCTGCTAAATTTACATAGTAGACTCATCCGCCTTGGAATTTAGAACTGTCCACTGTTAGATTTGGGAGATTCAATATAAAAATTTAAGAATGGAATAGCCAAAACTGTCTGATCAAAAGAGCAAGGAAGAGCAGACGGGACATGTCTGTAACTATAAATACTAACAATATACAATGGAGTCAAGCTAAGACAACTGCTAAAGATGAAAAGTTTATATAATATCAAACTAAAATCACAAGCTGATCATATAGTTTATATGAATTTATTTTAGTTTGATTGTGTTGGAAGCTATAAGCTTATTGAAACACTCTTAAACCTGTACCTGGAACTAACCAGTACTAAGCAATAAGTGTAAAGTTTCTTGCTCAAGGAAACATCGTCTTGCCCGGCCTGCTGAAGGGGTTTGAACTCACACGGACAACAATCCTCAGATTACTAGTCTGACACATTGCCACTTGGCCATGGTATGTATAAATCATTTTTAGAGATATTGAAATCACTGTCCTGCCAGACAATCTCATTCTTAGTACATTCTTTTACCGGCCATGGGAGCCATTTTTACTGCCATGGCCCCTTAGCTAACTGCTATGGCCAATGCCATGACCCCTTTTCTTACTGCCATGGCCCCTTTCCTTACTGCCACGGACCCATTACTTAACTGCCATGGCCCCTTTACTTACTAACATGGTCCCCTTTGTGAACTACCATGGCCCCTTTAAGTACTGCCATGGCCCCTTTACTTACTTCCATGGCCCCTTTACTTACTGCCACAGCTTAAGTTAGGTTATCTAGTTAAACAACTTAACAACAAGTGGCATTATAAATACTTTCATTACTTCGTACTTAAACATACTACAAGGTATATATGCAAGAAAGGTCATGTAGTTTAAGCTGTAAAGTAAACAATTATAAACTGCAAAATGTTATTTTGAATTTTTATCTACACTCGACTGTAAATATCAAAGTATTAATCAATGTCATAACAATGACGAGGAATTACAATGTAATTTTATATACGGTATTCACAACTGACACATTGCAAAAAATTGTTTATACTAATAAGTAATATAGGGAAGTAATTCATTTACAACTTGTTGATTAAAATGCAAAGTTTCAAATCAAACATTTAACTATACAGAAAGAGATTGATTTATATGGAGCGTTGACCCTAACCAAGCTAAATATCTTAATTGGACTTGTCTATCATGAAATCTGAGCAAAACCAATTATCATTTTTTAGGAAAAATTTCAAAAATTAACAGTGACTGAATAGCATACAATGCAGACCACAATCAGAGGTACAGCCAGTTGCCACTAGCAGACTCACTTAGTACTAACGTTTAGACCCTCGAGAGATAGGTTAGTTGTACCCTACTGTTGACACAGTCGTCGCAATGGTAATCAACAAACTTAATCAACATAGATATGAATTTTAACTAAGTATTTTTTGGTGCAACAAATAAAACTTCTTGCCAGCTTAAACCTTAATAAACAATTTGCAATAACAAAACTGACACACATTGACAATCTGTGACTGACAGGTGGGAATATCCAGGTCCTTTGTTAAATAAACTGCTGCAGAAGGTGAACTATAGAACCACACAATTTAAAAGACCAATTGATGAGAATTCTGCATACAGAAAGCGAGAAAGGTCTGTTTACTGTTAGATTTTATAACCAAGAAAATTGAACATATATCTAAGTTAAAACCTCATTATAAATTCATGGTTTTACAAAATGATCACAAACTCATATCATTAAATATTATCTTACAAATCAACTGTGCAAGCATATTTTCACATTTAGGTTCAACCGTACCAGTTAACTAACTGCAGCTGTCGACTTAAGTTACTAATTACGGTTGCTAATTACTATCATGCAATTGTTAATATTTTTAGTAAGGTCAACATCCCCTTTGCAAAAATATGACTTAAAGTAAAAAGTAACTTAGAATCTGCTCTAGATTTTAAGCGTCATTATGTCAATTAGTATGAAATTAATACATAATGTGACTAAATTTCATTTCTTGATTTAAATATTTCATAAATTTAAACCAAAGTACGTAGGTTATATATCTTTCATTTGGCTGTATAAATAGATACCCAAATTCACTCTTTATTCTATTTTGCATGGTTATTGTACATAATTTTATTAATGTCTGACAGATCCTATATTTTGTACCAGAGACCACCAGATCTTATTATATGTCTCTGTTTGTAGTGAATTTGTACAATAAATTGGGTTTTAAAAAAAAATGTTGAAAGTGATGGTAGGAGCTAAAGTCACAGTTAATGACACGCATGTAAACTGATCACTTATATTTACAATAAGTCTAACATAAACTTGTGTACAGACACGTATTTTAACAGCACATTCCTTAAATGTATATCAATTAAAAATTTAGTTTAATAAAGTGACACTTCTCAACTTTCTATTTCGGATTTGAGGTTTTGTTAAATGAATATAAGTTTAAGAACATTTAACATAAAACAGTTAAGTCAACTAAAAGGCAATCTGCAAACCTTAAAATTGTTAATAGTTCTACAGAATGACAATTAAAAATGTCACATTAAACCAGCCTGACCCGTTTGGGACACAAAATGGCGATCACTTCTAAAAAAGTTATATTGGTCACACCTTTCTGTTATTTACTTTCGTTTTGTGAAAATATGGACCTGATTTATGTAGCCATACTTACAAATAAAATGATTCGGCGTTAAATTCCCGATGTTGTATATCTATAAATCACTAATATTATCCAAATACTTCAAAATAATTAGACCGAACTATTACTAGGGCGAGGCAAGTTTTGTGTACGCTGTTCTGTTAAACTCCCACATCAAACCGGAAGTAATATTTATCTTATATTTACGAGGATTGAAATTTTTTTAGTTGTTATTTTTTGACTAAATTAGAAATATTAAGAATTATTTTATAACTTAATGATATAAAATAGAGATCGCATAGGGTATGGCGACATATTCATGCCGAAGAATCGTGATAATGTTACCATATGTTTTCTTTATCGACTATTACCTGTGTTTTGCTATTTCATGGAATAGCCACTTGTTACGTGACTTGCTCGTGACTTTTAGCGGCAACTGTCAAATCTACATCTCGTGCACACTTAATATCATAGGGGGCTTAACATTTGTTAGAGTGTAGGTAATGATTAAAAATCAACGTTTTAAAATCCTGAAATATTACAGTCTAATAGATAAACTTCCTTTACATACATTTACAGCTAGCTTACAACCACAGACTAAAATGTATAAAGACCTGTATGGTATCTCAAGGGCTGACAATTATTTTTTAAAGAGACACAAATTACTTTCAAATTGTTTTGAGTAATATCAAGCTTTATATAGTCTGATTTTATTGACCTGTCAATTTTGAATACATTATATGACTCATTTAAATATTCGATCCCACTTCGGTTTGGTCCGTGTAGTTTACGAGAATTAATGTGGAGTATATAAGTCATCGATTGAAAGTCACGCCAGCTTAATGTGAAAGTTTTCGTTAATTCACAATAGGACAGTCGGTAAAGAGAATGCCTGATAATTGAGAGGTCTGTGGTTCGATCCTTACTGTTGCCATTGTTTTAGTACTTTTTCTTTATTTTTGCAGTATATTTTAATAGAACAGATTTGTAGTGTGTTTTACGGCATTGAAATGACATTTATTGATTTTAATCCGTTTTAATTTTAAACATGAATTCTTAAAAAAAAATGTTATTTAAAAAGAGTATATACATAACAAAATTAAGTAAAACATAATGAAACAAAACGAACAACATAAATAATCATATATAGATTCAATAATGTTGAAAGTATTAATAAGAAAAAAACATGGACCAACGCGGCCTCGAACTTAAAACACGTGTGGCACTAAGATTATAAACTCGTGATTTACCCTATTGCGCTATAACGCTGAGTACACTTAGTTTAGAGATACAAATTAAATTAAATTCTATCGTACAGCGTACATCTCACGGAACTTACCGAACATCTACCGAAGATTAACATACTGTGTGCATCAACCGTGTAATCAGTATGTAATTGACAGGTTAATAAAATCAAACAATATAACAATATAATGTATACCATCAACCTTCAGTGATATTGACAATATATTGCTTACAGTTCACTAATAACAGGTTTTATTTCATTAATAATATATTTGCATCAAATGCTTTCATAAAATTTCAGAGACGCTAATATACTTCATATGTTATAATTTTTCTGAAAATATGAAGAATTTAAAAGACATATAACATGACAGGTTGATAAAAACGGTATCGAAAATTGACCTCAGTATTTCGTTATATATGTACAATGATGAGGTCATAAACAGAAATACAGAAACTAATGCATATCTATATAATATACATTTTTTTTTTCAACTTAAAAAGAAAATGTACAAACAGGACTGTAAGTGTTAATCTGGGGAAATTTGTATGTACAGTAATAGAACTAAGAATTGAACATAGTTATTTCAAATATTTATAATCATGTACTGATGTAACCTTTTTCTGCACCATAAATTGTAATGCAAAGATGTTACTTGGCGATAATTATTCCATATATAATGTGTGTATGGGGGCGTTTTTTTGTGTTTCTGTTTTTGCTAGTACAGTATTTGGCTGACTTGACTCTATCAAATTACTGCAGTAGTAATTATAAATAATAGTATCAAAGTAAAATTGCGTTTCCAACTGTTACACGTTGGTAGAATCGTGGGCGGAGTCAGGGATCATATTTGGAAGATACATGTAACATGAGGCAGTATTTATAACTGTAGAATAAAAGATTCTTTGAAATTTCGATTGTGCATGCGGGACTGCGGGACTCAAGTACAACCTTTATTAAAAATTCTAAAAAATAAACAACGAAAGTTTTCAAATTTAAGTCGATTTTACAAACTAAACCAGTGTAAGGGTAAATTAGATTCATTACAAATATGAAAGCAGTTTACAAGAACCAGTTGCCTTTACTGTCGCAAGGAACAGATTACTTCTGTACAAGCCAGAGCAGACGTACAGGGCAAATGACCGTAATCAATCACAACGAAAGAAAATGACCTGCACCGTCCAGGAATCGCTAACCGTACGGATTATTAAAATTGGGGGGAGGTCTACAGGGACACATATAGGTATGTTGCTTTCGGTCCGATGTGTTTTGGTTGTGAGCTTTTACGTTTTTCACGTCTCCATTCAGGTCTGATATGTTTTGGATAGGAGCTCTTATGTTGTTCAAGTCTTCGTCCAGGTTTATTGTGTTTTGGATGGGAGCGTTTACATTTTTCATATCTTCATTAAAGTCCGATGCATTTTGAATGAGAGCACTTCACAACGTTTTTCACGTCTTCATCAAGGTGTGTTACGTTTTGGATGGTTTCACGTCATCATCCAGGTTTAATGTATTTGGGATGGGAGATCCTACGTTTTGTCACGTCTTCATTCAGGTTTGTTGCATTTTGGATGGGGGTTCTTATGTTGTTCGTTTTCATTAAAGTCTGATGCGTTTTGCATGTGGCCCACTGTGAATAAAACGTGGACGCCACCACAGTACGTGTGTACCTATAGAAAACTTAAGCAATAACATTTATTGCATCAAGGTATTTTGACGAGTAATCATGAATTCTCAAGACGAAAAATTTACATTTTCTTGTTTATATCTGTGCAAAACCTCAACATAAATGCGATAAGCACACAATGCACGAAGAAGGCCGATGGAGACAGGTCCGTGATCCTTGTGGATTCGTGCATGACTATGGTGTTTGTAATAAGCAAGGCCTTTATACAACAAATCTCACCAGGAAGCTCCACAGCGTATGAATACGGTCCAACAACAGACTTCTTTCAAGTTTTGTAATGCCGCAATTATGGCTTGTCCGGTCTCCCTGCGTTATCTCATTGATTACCGTGGCCATTAAACATTATGTAAACATATAAATGTAGTATTATCTGTTGGTTTAAACATATTTATCTAAGCTTGATTGCGAAACAAGTTCTTTCAACTTATATTAATCACTTTCAAGTCCGCCAGTATTAATGTCATATGAAGAAACATGGTCGTGACCCAATTAGGGCTCGAATCCATGATCCCTGGGTTGAGAGGCAGAAACCTTAACCACCAGGCTACCGCTCCTCTCAGTAATTATCTGTTGTCTTTAAACAACTATTTTCTTCAAAACAACTTATATTAACAAGAGCTGTCGGTAGGACAGCAACGCTCGACTATTCTTAGTGCTTGATAGTAAAAAAAGCCTTGATTAAAAGGTCAAATTTTCTAAGTAAAGAAAAGGCAAATTTTTTCTTTAAATCCATATTACAGTTATAGGCCTTGGAGAGAGTCTTAGTATGCTCTCAAAGAAAAGTATAAAATTTCAACATGTTTCAAAGCCTTATGTCAATGAATTTTGAAAATATTTGAACTATTACAAAAACTTTAACGTAAATTCTAAGTCCAAAAAAGGGGCATAATTCTGTCAAAATGCTTGATACGGTTACCTCCTCCTGTCCACATGTTGGGGTCATGATGGTGAATAAGTGTGCAAAGTTTCAAAGCCATATGTCAATGGACTTCGAAAATATTTGAGGTATTACAAAAACTTTAACGTAAATTATAAGTCGAAAAAGGGGCATAATTCTGTCAAAATGCTTGATAGAGTTACCTCCTCCTGTCTACAGGTCGGGGTTATGATAGTGAACAAGTGTGCAAAGTTTCAAAGCCATATGTCAATGGACTTTGAAAATATTTGAACTATTACAAAAACTTTAACATAAGTAGTTACGCCGACGCAGACGCCGACGCCCGGGTGACTACAATAGCTCTACTTATTCTTATCGAATAGTCGAGCTAAAAATGTTTACTGCACTAGTGGAGTCCCTTTAACAGAGCCAATATGACTTATAAGACAACCAATAGAAAATTCATGGAATGAGAAAAACCAAGGATCCTTTGAATGACAATAAATTACATGTACTGTTAAACAAAAGAGAGGACAAAAACTTTAGACAACACAATATTTTGTTCATATTTATTACATAAGAGACCAAAACATAGAAATGTAAATTGTTATGGACGGATAGAAACTACAACACACAAATAAAACATCTATATCAGCAATATACAGTAACACAACTTTTTTAAACAAAAAATGCAATATTTTTTTCTTAATAAATTCTGACTTTTTATTTTCGCAAAGTTTTCTAATAATGGCTATCTGGTCTAGTGGTTATACTGGCTGCCTCTTAACAAAAGGATTCAGAGTAAGAGCCTTAATTCAGCCATCACCTTGTTTTCTCTGTTTATATCTGTCTATGTTACAGCTGTCTAGGACTAAGGTAATGAACTTTAGAAATTAGTTCATGATTTTGTTTAAAATTGAACTTAAATAATCATGTTCAATATAAAGAAAAGTTGAACATTTTCTTTCATCAAGCATACAACTATTTAAAATATACAAATCTTTTTTTTTTTATTAATAAATTCTACAAACTCTTAATAATAATTTTGAAGTAAATTGACTCGTACTTGGCCATGTTATCATTTTAATTTATTCACATGTTTAACTGAGACAACTTCAAATGTTTAAATAATATGAACTTTAAACAGCATTTATTTTAGCATGTGAAGAAGCTATATGTTTACACTCACTTCCTAACATGTTCCTTGAACCAACTTGTATTTATGCCGAGGCCCACATGGAAGGTTAGGAAATCAAATGTGTAAGCCTTGTTAAATAAAGGTGTTACTTACTTACTTAATGTAAATTTTTTTGCTCAAGAAAATTAACAAATTGCCATTGATTGGGTTTGAACTCATGTGGCTAGCAATTCTTACATTACCAATCAAATCCTTGGATTATTAACCATTGAGCCATTACGCCACTTAAAAATAATATTTGAAATTAACATTTGGTATTAAAAAACAACAACAACAAAATTACAACACAAATACTTAACATAAAGAAACATATTTGAATAATAATATTTTTAACATTCAATAAATAACATTATGCAATAAGGAATGCAAAGAAATCTCAATTCATATGAGAAAATGATATGTATGTATATATTATATAATCTACAGTGTCTCAATAGGACCATTATACATTTCAACCAATCAGATCACAATAATGCCTGAAAAACATGTTCTATTTTAAGAAATCAAATCAAACAACTTTAAGTACTGACAGAGCAAGAGTTTCAAGTTTCAAATTTTTAAAGACTATTTATCTATACTTTTTAGTTCCTAATTGAAGGACCATTTGTTTCGTGGTTGAAAAAAGGCCTTTGGGAAGTTATTTATAATTAACTTCCGCGATTCTCTATTCTGACTCTGACCCTCATAGTTACTACGTCATGTTACACTATTGTAATGACCAAATGCTGTAGATAGTTTATTATGCTGGTTAGACCAAGGATTTAGGAGTGTCTGAATCACATATAACAAAAAAAGTAAGTAATACAGGTATTTGTTTATGACCCACTAATGATTTTTTTTGAAATTTTTTACAATGCAAAAAATTATGTTAATATAATAAATATTTTTCACTTGGTACATTCTTTTTTGGAACATTTTTGTTCTTATTAAACTTAAATGACATCAACTATATTCTTATGCAGATAAACATTACGTGTTCTTCGGCATATGAAATTTGAAACAACCATACATGCCTTAAAACTACTTAAACTAACACAAGATATAACAAGAATTGTTTAATGAACACTATGAGAGTTTAATAGCCATACAGTATTTTTTATAAAATGGTGCCATGTACCAGGCTTGATTTGAGTGAGAAAAACACACTACCAATATGGCATTTTTATAAAGGGCAAAATTTGATATGTAAAAATATAACTGTTATTTACAATATTATTTATCAAGTACATAAGTGACTTAATTTAAGAAATATAATTGAGCCGTGTCACGAGAAAACCAACATAGTGGGTTTGCGACCAGCATGGATCAAGACCAGCCTGCGCATCCGCGCAGTCTGATCAGGATCCATGCTGTTCGCTATCAGTGTCACTACTTGTTATAGGGTTGGTAAGTGAACAGCATGGATCCTGATCAGACTGTGCGGATGCGCAGGCTGGTCTGGATCCATGCTGGTCACAAACCCATTATGTTGGTTTTCTCGTGACACGGCTTATATGGTCCTTATGAGACACCATACTTGTCAGATCAATCTACCATGACTAGGTCAAATTATCTGTCCTCGGGTCAAAGGTCATATATTAAACACAATGTAACAACCAGTACTTGAATGCAGCCTTCTGATTGGTTAACTTTAAAGATATGTACTTTTTACTGCACAATGAAGATAAAAGTTAAGTGTGTACCCACTGTAAGACACCTCTGTTGGTCAATTGCAAACTGGTTGAAAAAATAACAAAAGATTGGATGCACTTGATTGAAAATTAGACACTGGTCTTAGAATATGTTCTTAAACCTTTGACTCATTCATGATTTAATCATCAGATGAATGTTGCCAAAAATCATTGTGTTTGGAAGATCCTTTTTAGTAAAAAACAAACAACCAACCCTAACAGTATTGCCTCAGCCCTTCCCTTTAAAATAAGGGTCCTTCACATCTAAACTGTCTATAAAATTCATCTTAAAATTACAATAAACTATCTTACAATAACTAAGTCACAAAAATAAAAAATGTTCTGATAAAAAGACAATGCCATAATTATATACATTGACCCAAATATGTCCTCTCTATTCATATATGGAACTATTACATTCTAGGTGTGCAAATAAAAACATTTCTTTTTGCCTAAGAAAAATCAGGTCAACATTTTGACTATTTGTCACTCACCTAAAACCTATTACAAAGTTATCCCCCTTTTTATCTAAGATAAAATTCTATATAACATTAGAGTTTCTTTCAAATATGAACTGATTAAAGTGATCCCACAAAATTCTTTGAGACTGTAGTCACCATAAGGGACTTTGTATTGGTTTTTATTCAACTCGGCTCTTTCCTTTAAAATCGTCCATTTTTTTTTTCTTTTCACTCTCCTTTATCAAACTGCCATCTGCATGTCAGCAAAGTTATAATAGTTTTCAATCTCTTCGTCAGCTGTCTCACGTGACTGACTGATGAACACGAGTCCCGTTAATCCCTTCGTGATCCCCATAATAACCTCCTGACAAATCTGTATACAGTTCTCACCATTATACTCCAAACCTATCACTGGGCCTGTGGAGAAAAAAATTATAACACTTCTTTACTTTGTATACATAAAACAATTTTTGTGACTCAATTATTTGAAATATATTAAAGGTGTTCAGACCTAAAAAAGCACAACATTTTCTTTACAAAAGAAATTCAGTTCTATTAACAGTTTACAAATGGAGCTTTGAAAAAAAAACCTTTAAAATGTGATACTACAGCATTGCGTGGCCTAGTGATTAAAGTGTTTGCCTCTCAACCTAGGGATCATGGATCCCAGCCCAACTTGGGTCACATGCCATTTTTCCTAAGAAAGCAATAGTACTTGTGTTAGTTCCAAGAAGTGGTCTCAAATGGTTCAAGTAAGTTAAAGCTTTCTAAACAATCAGGCTCAAATAAATGATGTTCATGAATATTAATACTGCCTTTTTGTGCTTATTCAATTTCATAAATGAAGTTTGTCCACATTTGAAGTTAAAAACCTAATATATATTACTACAGATTTGTGATGAATACTTCGATTTTTACCACAGAACTGTGATGTATACTTTGATTTTTACCACAGAACTGTGATGTATACTTTGATTTTTACCACAGAACTGTGATGAATACTTTGATTTTTACCACAGAACTGTTATGTATACTTTGATTTTTACCACAGAACTGTGATGAATACTTTGATTTTTACCACAGAACTGTGATGAATACTTTGATTTTTACCACAGAACTGTTATGTATACTTTGATTTTTACCACAGAACTGTGATGAATACTTTGATTTTTACCACAGAACTGTGATGAATACTTTGATTTTTACCACAGAACTGTGATGAATCTTAAGATTTTTGCCACAGGGTTATGATAAACACAAGAATATCATAAATGCTTCTAAATTTACCACAGTGCAGCAATCACATCAAATTATTGCAAAAATTCCTTTGATTTTAATTTACCACAATATTGTGACCAGTCATGATTTTTGATCAATCCTTTGAATTTTACCACATTAGGGGCGTCCATGGCCGAGTGGTTAAGGTCATTGACTTCAAACTACTTGCCCCTCATCGCTGTGGGTACGAATCCCAACAGGAACTTTGGAATCTTTCATGTGAGGAAGCTATCCAGCTAGCTAACGGAACGTTGGTGGTTCTACTCGGGTACCGTTTGTGCCTGAAATAATGCACGGAAGGGCACCCTAGGTCTTCCTCCACCAGTAAAGCTGGAACATCGCAATATGACCTATTCTGTGTCGATGTGACGTAAAACCCAAAACAAACAAATTTACCACATTAGTCATAAATTTCTACATCTTTTACTACAACATTGTGATTAACCCTTTCATTTGAATGATAAATTTTAAAAATAATCAAAAAAATATTAAATTTTGATCCGAATAATAAATTATATAAATATTACAAAAAAAACAATTTTAAAAATAAGTCCATAGAGTTTCCATTTACCTCGACTGACAACTACATCGTAGGCATCTGACCCAAACACTCGTAATGCATCAGGTGGTGTCATCTTCAGCTCTTTTGTTTGAACCAGTATACAGTCAGGCTGATAACACAATAAACACAGTGTAAACTCATTTAAAATATTTATCAATTTTTTAAAAACATTTTGCTGAAGAATTGATTTTTGATTTAAGAATAATATAAAACATCTGTGCCTCCCTTCAGGGACTTTGGGTGTTATTTCATTTTAGCAAGCTATCCAGCTAGCTTACGGACAGTCAGTTTGTTCAATATAGAAGCTTCGATATTCCGATCCAAACTACAACATATGACAGTAATTATTATTGAAATATTCAACATCAACCAAAACACTAGAAGGGTTTTTGTCACAAAAGGAAGCTATCCAACTAGCTTATGGACAGTCAGTTTGTTCTACATAGAAGCCTCGATATTCCGATCCAAACAACAACATATGACAGATATTATTATTGAAATATTTCAACTGCAATCAAAAAATTAAAGGCAACACATTATATTGTCATAGGCTGTGTGACATTTATTAGAAAGAATAGGAAGTATAAAAGTTACTTACATGAGAATTTGTCATTTCATCTATGAATTTCAAGGCACGTTCTTGTGAACTCCCATCAAAGAAAAACACTATCAGACAAGACTGAAAATATAACATTTATACTTGTAAATTTTATATAACAGACATATAGAGCATATTCGATGAGTGTAAATTTAATACTAAATTTATTGAACCAGTTGAATAAAATCACATTATTTATTGTTCTATTCCACAAGTTCAATAAAGTATTGAATCTACACGAATATATAATATTCTATATTTCATATGTCCAAAATGAGAATGAGAACGGTTTACAGTTAAAAATCAGTTAATTTTTTCATTGATGCACTTATAGTGTAACGCTAACATCAGCAAGCTTTAAAACGACGACACGTCAAAGTGATATTACACTAGTGCAATATCATTTTTATTAACTTGTTTGTTTGTTTGTTTCATTTTACGCCTTTTTCCAACAGTATTTCAGTCATATAGGCGGGTAGTTTCCTAACCATCGTTCCTGGAGAGTTACACCAGTACTAGACTACCTTCCTCCACTCTAAACTACCAAAGCATCTCCCGGGAAATGAACCCCAGCAGAGAGGTAACTGGATTAGAAGTCATCGACTCTAACCCCTCGACCATGGAGGCAGTTTTTTATTAACTAGCTGTTAAACACTCCTGCACCATGGTATATGTGATAAATGATTATCAAATAGGGTACTATGTTATGGAAAATAATGTACAACACATTGTGTCTGGTTTATATGTCTATTCAAAACTACTAACGTTTCACAATACAAAACATAGGAAGTGATGTACTGAAACGTCACGCATAATTTGGAGTCATTTACGGCACATGCATATGGGCCCAATTCCCTTCAATTATGTTATATATAATTGGTGTATTAAGCCTTAACCTGCTGTGTAATGGAATTACCATGATTTAAATTTGGAACAGTCCATTCAACAATAGCTCCATTTTCCTGTATTTAATACAAAATATAAGCTACCAACAGTCAAGAGCCTGGTCAGACTGCACAGATGTGCAAACTGGCCTGGCTCTCATCTAGTGCCACAGGTTAATCACTTTCATTTCCAGCAGGAAACAACACTTCTGTTCCTTTTCTTCAATCCAAAAAGAGAGTAATTACATAGGAATTTCTTTTTTTCTTAAATTTAATTATTTAAACATACTTTGATGCATATATTTTAATACTTTAAAGAAACCGAAAGACAAAAACGTTTTTGTGCCAGCAATTATAAAAGAGGGTTGTAAGTAGGAGGCTTGTAACAGAACTATTTTTTATGGCTTCAGAAAAACACAAACAATTTGTTTACCTCATCTGAAGTCTTCCTCCTGTTACCTAGTGACCGTGGTACTACACTTTTTTTAGGATCCAGGCTTATCTCAAGGAACTGAAAGTCTTCTGTACTTGGTAATGGCACAAAATCATCAACTTTACAATCCTGAAAAAAATTCCAAAATTGCCATTTTTACCCCTTAACCTATTTGAATTTCCTGAATGGATTTCTTTAACTTCCATTATAAAACAGACCATAATTATTCAACTTTTTGGACGTCAAGATCTGGCTTTGAAAGTTGTCCAGTCTTCTGTTCAGGATAGAGCTTTATCAGTCTGAACATAGACCCAACTCAGTACTGATTACTAGTTTTAATTGAACATTTTGTAAGGACTAGTCATCACAACTGATATTCTATATAATATACTTGATTTTTTAAAAAATTTCACTTGACATCAAAACTATGCAATATTCGAATTCAGATGCTCAATATTAAGATGAATTTCAAACTAAAGTACATAATCCCTCTTACATAACAATTTTTTTTGTTTTATAAGGATTATATTTACACCAAAATTCTAATAAGAAAAGCCCTCCCCAGAAAAAAATCAAAAACCTTAAGTTCAGACTAAAGAACATGCAGATGTATTAAATTTTGGTCACTCTTTGTATTAAATGGAGGCTTCTGATGAATTTTTCATACCACGCTCTACATTTTCCCAGAAAATCTGTTAAAATTTTACATTCATAAAACCTCCGTCGTTGGATGTCTGGGGTACAACATGCAATACTCTTTTTTTTTTATCTCCCAATAAATGAAAAGAAAGCACTACAAATTACTTAAAGAACCTACGATAAACTGACAAATGTACGTTGTTATGAAAAAACCTTTTTAAATAGAATAAAATAAAAATAAACCCTTGACATAAATATATTAACAAATACCTCTGGTAATAAGGTGAAATGTTTCATGTTGTCATCTTGCGTAAAATCGTGAATATTACTCCAATTGTTATTGAACACACTTAATTTCGCTTCTTTAAACTGGCCTGAAATAAAACAATCCAATGTTCATTATTTGAGAATATTATTTCTTAAACAGAATTTTAACATAACATACCCTATGCCATATGTTTAACCAACATGTTTCTTAGCCCAACAAATTATGCGCTTTAGGGCTTTTTATTATATAGTTATTTTACGATGGTTGTCCTATGTAATATTGATTCAGATTGTAAAATCGGTTGGTCTTGTAGTCGAAACATTGAGACTTCATGTGTCTCTGCTGGTAGCTATATTACCTCAAATTTTCAGGCATATTAATTTAAGCTTATTTTATTATCATAAAAGAAATGTCAAAGTGTGAGAAAAATGTGCGGACTGACAGGAACTCAAACCCAGGACCATTGGAGTACCATTTCACATCTCTACTAGCAAAGCTACCTGGGCATTTGCACATTTTCTCCCATATTAGTATACAGCTTAATCCTGTTACTGTAGAATATAACAAATCATTGACCCTAATTTAAAGCATAGTGGACCCTTTATATCCTACAACAATTTTATAATACACTTTATTATGAAATAGTTGCAAGCATAATTAGATGTATCTATAAAACTTAGATATATAGAATAAAAAGGTCCTTCTTCATACACAAACTTCAATTTGCATGATATTTCTGTTACTTCATTAAAATAACTTAAAGGAATAACACCTAACAAAATTTTTTTATATTACAAGTAAGTTTCCAGTAATTTTTTTTATATCATGATATCTTAATAGGAAGAGCCACTTAGGACTAAGGCTTCCACATTTATGCCTGTTTGTTGGTTTGGTTTTATGGGGCATAAACACAGTTTAGGGCATATGGCATTGAAATGGGAAAGTAATTTTGGCTAACCGCAGGTGTTAAAAACTTAAAAGCAACACCAGTTGTCAAAAACCACCTCACTAAGAGATGCATAAACTCTTAGTAATTTGGACCCAGTAGGTCACCTCTTACTATCATGCAGCTTAAAAGCCAAAATACTTAAATTAAAACGGTAACCCATATCTTACCAGCAAGTTCTGGATAGTAATAGGTAAAACACGCAAGTTTTACACGGGACGACGACTCTATGATAGGTTGCGTAGCACAGCACAGGAACGCATCTAAATTCTGGCAATCTCTCAATCGGAACTGTTGACAAGCCACAACAAACTTACAACCCGTACAGTCACGTATAAATATACTGAAAATACAATGATGATACATAATATTATTCTATTGTTTCAAAAGTTCCAGCACAATAAGCAGTAGCTGTTTACAATGAGGCCAGGGTTGACAGGTGTCAGGTAGGAGAATGAGAACAAAATTATCTTCAGGTTGGGGTTCATAGAAAGTCTTAAGCGTATCCTAAGTCCTAGGACAAAACCAACTTTCAGACTAAGTTAAGACTGTTTCAATTAACGTTTATCTTCAGTCAAATACTGTAGACTATAAATAAACGGTTTCTCCTGAGAAAAATTAAGAAATTCATGACAGACTCTTTTTTATCCGCAGTGTGTAAATGCCCATCAGTATTGCTATTCAGAAATTAAGAGCATCATAATATAGGAGTCATAAATTAGGATATTTTCTTCGAAACACAAAATTGTCTAAGTTTTGGTATTAAGACAGAGTTTCTATGAAACACAGCCCTGAAGCTTATCTTTTTAATTAACTTGCAAATTTAACTAGAATTCTTGTAACCTTTAACAGATGTTCCAGTTTTGCTTTGATATATATATATACATGTATATAATACATTAAACACACTCTGAAAATTGAAATTGCGGCATCAGGCCATCCATAATTGTTACAAAATAATCTCATATGTACTTACATCCCCAACAATTGACCGACATGCAGTCTTTTAATCGTAATTATAATACAAAAGTTATAACACAATTATAACAGATTTTGATAACTCTTTACAGATGAATGGTACCCTGGGATATACTTACTCCGGAATTAAAAATATTTTGGGGTTTCCCCAGCTTATCCAGGGGTACAAATAAACTTTTACAGTTACAGTATTAAAAATATACGCAACAAATTCACATATTGATCTATTGTCACTGGTAGTGCATTGTGAAACTAAGATGGTAAAAAGTTTATTAGTATATAGGGATTAGCTTGGAAAAACCTATATTTGCCGAATTAAGGTTAAAAACTTTTATCATTATAGGTTAACATACTAGCAAACTATACTGTTTTATCAAAGCATGATAACATGTGAAGGAAAGATAAGGTTAAAGGTTATTACCTGGTTTGAATTGGTCCAATAAAAAAGTTACAGTCTATACAATCATCTACAGTAACAGTGCTGGTGTAATCATATAAATATATGTTACAATTCTGAAATGATAAATAATAAAACTGACCTCTAATTTCATCATTTGTAGATAAACAAAAGTACTCCTGACAAATGTCGTTAACTTACAACTATTTGTAAAGTAATAGGAGTACCTGACATCATTCATAATCAATTTTTTTAATTTTCATGACAAAAAGAAAAACAGTCACAGAACAAGAGCTATCAGTGATCACATGAATCGCCTGATGATAGCTTGGATGTTGCTATGAGGGGTGATTGGAAAATTGGATAGAAGTGATCTCTAAATTTATCATGCCATTACTATGTCAGTGACTTGAGAACACTATGTTCCACCGCCAGATCAGCACTGATGATGTTTATTGTTGGTATTGTTTAATTGACTTTGCTGAATATTTATGATAATACACAGTAAATAAATTGTTAAAGCAAATTGTACCAAAAATTGTGTTGTGTTATAAAATTATTGGTAAAAACCCTCGGACTACTTTTTTGGCGTATAACCCTCTTGTGGTTACCATACTTTCAGAAATTAGCGCCCAGAATTAAAAAAATAAGATGCAAAATCATAATAGAGGCATGATAAAAAGAATAACAGGTTACTGTCTTTTGAGAAAGGGATTTCTCAGACTCGGCTAGATATGGTCCGGAAGGGGCTCGGCAAGCCTCGCCCCATATCTAACCTCGTCTGAGAAACCCTTTCTCAAAAGACAGTAACCTGTTATTCTCTATTACTGTGGCTCTGTAGCAGGTGACACAAAAATGGAACATTAATCATTCTTTGCACATATCATCCACAGATGATTCACAGTTACATGATCAATATATCCCTATCATTTATACAGCAATATACACTTACCTTACAATTTTGTACAATGAATTGCTTGCCATTTAGAGATCCTGGTAATTTACCAACTGTATGATCTGTTAAACCATCAAACATGTAATTTGAAGGATCCACTTTAGGTCTCTTATCCCTAGATGAATATATAAAAATAAGTTACCTTAAAGTTATATATAAAGAATGTAATTAATGAAGAATCAAGTTCACTCAACATTTTACAAAGGTACACACATATGGTCAGTTCATTCAACATTTTACAAAGGTTAAAAACAAAGGTTAAAAACAGTCAGTTTTATATATTTTAAGTCAGAAATTCTGCATTTTAAGAAGATGGTTTGGATTTTGCTTTATTCCCCTTTAATGTTAAACCCATTTTGGACATTTCAGGCCCCAGGAGAGAGTTTGGTGACAAAACAAGCTTATTTCCTATTTGCAAAACTCTCAAATGAAAGCTGTGGTCTCACAAGCAGTTTTCCAAAACAGGTACATTGAGTTTAAAAAAATGTACTTTGAAAAAGTTGCATTCACTGTATTATTCATTAGGAAGTGGCTAGCCGTACGGGCTGGTACGGCTAGCCAAAAGTTCTAGCCGTACTTGAGTCACATACGGCTAGCCTGGACACACTGTATTGTTTAGCCGTACCGCACTTTTCAAAATTATATGAAAGTGAAAAAAGCATATGTTTTTTTATGTCTTGAACAAGGATTTTAACCAGGAAACAGCAATTGTCTTCGTATGTTTACGTTTTAGAGATGAATATATAGCCATGTTGGCTAAATACAGAATCAAATCAATTGTGTCATCTCCAGATGGCTAAATCATATTTAAGTGCAGTTGAATAACATCGTTTATATATTAATTATTATAATAGTCCTTTTTTGGTTCAATAAGTTTAATTTTCAACACCTTTAAAAACAAAAAAGCACTGAAAATAATTGTTGTTGTGTTATGATAATTGTGTCAATTACTGACGGTAGAAGTTTGTCCATCATTATACAGTAAGGAAAGTTTGCCTGTTCCTTGAAATGCATTCTAAAAGTCCTAATAAATCCCTGTACTATACAGGGTTTTACATCTCTTTAAAATTTTAGGGGTCCAGTGGATGCACATCCTAGACAAGTAGGGGTCCAGGCCTGAATTTTAGGGGTCCAAAATTATATTCACTAAAAAAGACTATGAAGACCACTCTATTTTGCTTAAAATCGTTTATTTACCCTGTAAGAAATATGCATGTATATTGTACTGTTTTCATAAGAAGTATATGATTTCAATATCTTTTATCACTAGGTTTTTATAGCATTTTAGTAGCCCTTTACAATAATATCATGTGCTATTTCCAAGGCTTATTAGTCTTTGAGTGGCTGGAATGTCAAGTTTTAATTAGTAGCATATTTTGTTATTGACAAGGTGATTACACCAACAGACTGAAAATTTGTACTGATCTATTTGTAAATATTTTAGCTGAACAAGTAAACACACAATAGATATCTTTACAGACCAGTCAGCTAAATATCTTGCGTTTTTAAAAATATCATAAAACAAAAGGCTGACAAAACCGCTTTTGCACCTCCTCATAAGCTGGGACATAATTGATGTCCAAGTCATAAATTAAGTTCGCCGAAACCATTATATTTATTAAACCAACGATAATAACATACCCAGTGACTTAATTTCTAACACTTTTTCATATAACACTTTGCAAAAAGCACTGCATTTTTTATTATCCCTGTTCATGTACAAAATACAATCGCCGAACTGGTAGATCGACATAGGATACGCTAACCAATAGTAATTGCTTGTTATAAATAGTCCGTCTAAATATAGCAATAGAAAAACCAAAAACAGCTACCAAAAATAGATTTTACGGTAAACGTCATCAGTTACTGTAGCTTGCACGATAAACGTCATCAATTTCTGCAGCGGGCACTTGCAAATAGCATGCGCAGTAGATTTCAATTTTGTTAACTTCCGAATAAACAATGCAAGCATTAGGTTTAAATGGAATTTTATGAGCTTCGAGAAGAAAGAGATAAAATCTTGTCAAGTCAGAAACAATAATATCTATTGGCTAGAATTATTTTTGTGCGTACACTTGGACGCAAGTGGATAACTTATATGCGTACATGTCAAAATTTATGCGTATAGGGACGCAGAATTCTGCGTCCCGTAAAACCCTGACTATAGACTTTAATTTTGGTTAATTGATTTTGCTTTTTGTTCAAAAATTTATATATTTAAAATTGCTAATGTCAAAATTTATATATTTAAAAATGCTTTAAGTTGCTCATATTGTTTTTTTTTGTGTGTTTTTTTTCAATGTTCTATATATTTATTCATTCCATTGACAGATCATGCTGTTATGAAACAAGCTTCTTTGGCCGTTATGATTATTCACTCCATGTGCTTAATCAACAAAAAAACGATTTAATAATTCATCTTTCATACAAAAAAAAAAAAACCAACAACAAATCTTATATAATCATAAAAAAAACAAAAAACGTTATAACTTAAACTATAGTTATAACTTTGCATTATGTGACGCATATACAATGTACTTTGCATAATACGTTTTGTAACTTTGACACTTTTATCGCGATGACAAACGCTATCATAATTTCCTTTCTTTTTCTTTACAAAGCTTTTGTTATAAAGTTTGAGGACAAACGCGGGTTTAAATCCTTGTTAAAAGACACAAAAGAACATATGCATTTTCAACTTTCATATAATTTTAAAAAGTGCTGTACGGCTAGACAATACAGTGTGTCCCGGCTTGCCATACATGACTCACGTACGGCTAGAACTTTTGGCTAGCCGTACCGGCTCTAAGGGTGTAACGGTTTACCGGTATACCGATATATTGCAATATGAAAAAATAAATTTCGAACCGCGGTACGATTTTTGGAAAACCGGTAATTTATAAAAATCATAATTTTCAATTAATTGCCTTCCAATTTTGTACAAATTTCACATAAAATCTTTAATTGGCAAATTTTGTTGGCGCCAACGTAAGATAAAAGTATCCGACAACTAGTACACTTAAAAGTCAATAAGCGGCCGCATAATTTACATAAGCGGCCCAGATGTGAAAGGTCACACGCGACTAGTTTTGTTTATCAAATTGTGTGACACTACTTTCTATTTATTCCTTACATTTCTACTTTAGTTTCTACTAAAAATATATACATATAATAATAATAATAATATATAAATGTTACTCCATCTTTACATCAAAACATATACACGACAATACGTATTGCAATATATTGCAATACGCTTCAGCAAAATGGCAATATATTGCAATACCGTTTTTGCTGTATTGTTACACCCCTAACCGGCTCGTACGGCTAGCCACTTCCTATTCATTATTGACAAATCACAAAAAATCTATGATTAAATAACAAAATTTCATTTGGCCTTTGCATCTTCTATTGGGACAAGATAATTTCAATTAGCATTTTAGTTTCAATTCGAAATCTTCCATGGGGTTTACCTGGTTGAACCATTTAAAAAGTTCATCATGATGTTTTTTCCCCAAAATGTTTTGGGGAACCATGATGAACCGGCAAAGCCCTAACTATTTTGTACTTGAGTATAAAATATTAAGTTTACCATGAATAAACCTTTGGCTGTTCTTCTTCCAATGTTTCATGGGATGACTTAAACCCCAATTTTACAAGTAAACAACCCATTATTTTGCTGAAAATAGACAATTTCTTAACATGACATTTCTTGTTGCTAAAATTGACAAGTCTCGGGCTGAATAATTCGGTCAATTTTGATTGGCTGAAAACAGCCAAAGCCGGTGCATGGTAATTTTGCGAAGTTACATTTACTTTTAGGCATAAGAAAACCAAATTCCGTCGCTTTTAGGAGTATAAGCAGTAAAAACATTTTTAAAGCTGCATGTAATAAATTTCATAAAAACAGAAATAGTGACATTTAATTAATAAATTGGGTTTCATATCGACTCCAGATCTTATTTTAGTGTGCAGACAACCAAAATTAGTTTTATAAGTATAAATATCTGCAACCTCAGTGTGGCGAAATCGGAAGTACAATTTCTGTTTGCATGAGAAACTCCTACTTCGGATTATCGTTACATCAATATTAAATCAACACACATGTCCTCATTTAACGGTATATTTCTGCATTGTTACAGGTGTTTTCATACAAATTTAATCTTTTTTATGAGATGATTATTTTTTTCTGAACGCCAGGCATAATGCACCGTGAAGCTAAAACGGTTAATTTAAAGTGTGTCTGCACAAGAAAATCTCATATTTGCTGTGTTCGGATAGCAACTATAACAATGTGACGTAGCACATACACGAGCTGATTATAGTCTTCATTTGCATGTTAAAATGCGTATAGAAACTACAGAGTTACAGTGGGATTTAACTTTTAAAATCGATATTTATGAACAATGTTTGATGAGATTTACAGCAATACTGTTAAAAAGGCTAATAAAACTGTAGAATGCTTCGTTTTTAGACCGACGGCAAGATATTTTTACATTTTCATTTAAGGTATTAGGACCCTAATGGGCACTATCAGGAACTAAAAAATTGACATCATAAGTCAGATGTATACCTTAAAGTACACCTGTATGCAAAATTTAAACAAAGTTTACCGTACAGAAATCAAGTTATGGCCACTTTTCTGAACTCAAGCTAGGATGTTATGAGGGCCCTTTTTTAGAAAGTAGGAACCTTTAAATAATTTGCAATAACACTCTAATGAAAAATGTTTTCCCATTAATTTTTGGTAAGAAACAAAAAGTACCATTCAACTAACAATCCAAATAAGCAAAATTATGGTTTCTACATAAAATTTATGAAATCTGTATAAAAATGTTATCCTACCCCTACCATTTTTACCACGTGCCTGACCATTTTTCTACTTAGGGAGCCTAATTTAAAGAAATCTTAAAATTTATCCAAATGAGTGCCTGTTTTCAAAGTTTCCCTAAATTTTTAAAAAAGTATATTGGTTGATCTTGTAAAATATGAAATACTTTTACCGTCTAGTTTTGATTATATTACACTTTGAAAATATCAGGTACCATATTTATTACTAGATTTAGCATAATTTAGCCAATAAATACCTATATAAATTAAAAAATCAAAATTAAACACTTTTTTCTTTCCAAATGGGACATGAGAGATGCATAAATAATGTTAAAAGAAAAAAAGAAAGAAAAAAAAAAGTTGACCCTTCTCGGGATTGAACCCATGGCCCTCATTTTCAATGTAGTTAACAGTAGTTCTAGCATATTTGAATACTCTTCAAAGCGGAGATTATGCATTAGGGTGCTAATACCTTAATGCAGTTTAAACCGATGTCAGTTCTGTACGTACTTTAACGTCTCTGGTTCTAGTTTGAAATTATATTGATTTGTCTTTATTATGTAAGAAAGATGTATTAACAACGAAAAGATTACCTTTGAGAAAGTATACATAATTATAACTTTTGTATGTGGCTTAGCTTTTGGACGTTTAATGGTCTCCATCAATTGATGATCTAAGTAACTTTCATACTTTATAAGCTATATGGCAATTTCTCTTTCAATAAGTTTACATTACGAATGAATGAACATGCACTTATATTAAGCACAATCAATTCTTACTGAAAGTCAGTCACATTTTATAAAATTAAAAGTTTAAAAAAAAAGAAATTTTCCTCCTGATTATTTACCATGTTTGTGCCGGATGCAGCATTCTTGGTGATATTTTCCTGTCTGAGGTTCTGGTATGTCTTAACATGCAGCATATGAAAAAAATGTCACAAAACGAATTAAGAATTCAAAATTTTCACGAAATCTGCCCGTAAAACGATGCTAAATATTCCAACAAAACCTTATTGAAATATTTATTTAGAATTAGCTTCAAATGTGGGAACCGGCGGTTATATTCAATTCGTGCTGCATATTTGCTGAAGAGATCCATATGTGATATAGAAAAACAACAAAACTACGGACCAGTTCCATTTAACCAACTAGGGTATGCATTTTGTACATAAAGTGTAGGGGGCGTCCGTGGCCGAGTGGTTAAGGTCGTTGACTTCAAACCACTTGCCCCTCACCGCTGTGGGTTCGAATCCCGACAGGGACTTTGGATTCTTTCATGTGAGGAAGCTATCCAGCTAGCTTACGGAACGTCGGTGGTTATACTCAGGTGCCCGTTCGTGCCTGAAATAATGCACGGAAGGGCACCTGAGGTTTTCCTCCACCAGTAAAGCTGGAACGTCGCGATATGACATATACACTGTCGATGTGACGTAAAACCAAATCAAACAAACAAACAAACATAAAGTGTACATAAACGCTAGCTCCTAATATAACCATTTTAAACAGTCTTAGCCAAGAATTCATGTATGGTATATTTGGCTTAAAGTCCATGGGAAAGTGTTTTTATATCACACTACTACAATAGGCTTTCTGTCAATCCAGGGAGTTGCCACTTTGTTGATATTCAGTCGTCTTGGTTTATCGATCATTTGATGATTCTCCAACCAAATGATACTTGTGTTTCCGCCGGAAATTGTAACTAGGTCTGTCTATCTCTTGATATTTGATTACTAATATCAACCGGAAGCCAACCAGTTACATTACGTGAGATGCATGTTGAAGCAAGTTAGAGACGCTTGCATTTTCTAAACATGCATGATTTTGAAAAAGAACTTATGGTTGTCGACATCACTACGTATCGTTTTCAGAGCTAAAAAGTGATTTTGTCTGTAGTTCAAACATATATCATATGTAACGATGAACTACAAGTGGATCACAATCAGCGATTTATTGTATTATGTTCATCCATAATATGTATGTAAATGCAAATCATATTACGAAGATCACAGAAAAATGTTGTTATCTTGAACTACATGTATCAATATTTTACATAGGGATACATATATGTCACTTCTGGTTTGAGATCGCACAGCTACTCTTACATCTGTGTGATACCGGACTTATTTGTAACACAATTACCGATTATTTAGCACATAAATAATGAAAAACAAACTAACTTAAGTTTGTTCTACATGATCGAATATTAGAAAAGACACGTGAATATGATGGCCATTGACCTTTAAAGTATAATATTGTGAAGTGAATAAAGAAGGTAATTAACACATTCCAGCCCATGGAAATTACAGAAACTGCAGAAATAGCTGTGTGAGTCACACAGTATAAATATGATGATAATTACTGCAAAATCAGTCATTAATTGCACATTACTTGTAGATTATTTGTTGAATCTTGTATCTGAACACCTTACTTAAAATCTAAGAAACCAAATTTCAAGTTTACTTCTTTTAGGGGTGTCATCGATAAGGATTTTTGTATTGATATATCGATAATGAATTATCGGCGATACAGCGAATATATCGATTGCCAGGCAAAATTAAGCTTTCAAGTCTTTTTTAATTTGTTTTAATATGCAGTTATATTTAAACACATGCAAAAAATATAAATAAACTATGAAAAGTGAACAATTTGTTTCTTTTTTATCATTATAACTTCTAATGACAACTAATGACTAGTAACAATAATGTTTAAAGCCTTTTCCATTTTACTTTTGTTGTTGTTGCTATTACGTAGTTACAGATTATGCTAAATCCCTTCCTTGCCGTTCCATTAGACTTAGTAAGCAGGGGTTTAATTGGCAAATTATTGTGTTTAGAACCTGAATAATTATTAAAGTTTAACATAAAGTTACATATGTAATCATAATTTTTATAAAGAAAAACTTACAAAAATTTTCTTGGCATTTTCCGTTTTAAAAAATCTGAATTTTGGGGTCTTGACCCCCACTTAAGATTACACCGAAATTTGGCAGCATTCGTTAGAGACACTGGGAGGTAACTCTGGTGTTTATTTCTGTTTTAGTTTTAGAAAACAAAATATTTGAAATATGTTAGTTCTGGTTTTCATAACTTTATATGTCTCTTTTATTTTGATGTTTAGTCTATCAGTACTATAAAACCTGTTTGCTGAAGTCTCTTTAGTTAGAAATATGTGTGCATTCGATATCCGATATTTAAAAAATGGAATCGATATCGAATCGGATAACAAAGATCGTTGATACACCGATATCGATTGAATCAATTACACTCCTAACTTCTTTAAAAATATTTTGGCTCATCGGTTGGTAAAATGCATCTTTAATAAATAGATGTGCTGCCACCAGTTATAGGGTTTTGTTATCATTGTGTATTTTTTCTTTATCCAATATCAGTTACAAAAGGTTTTTGGCTATTGTGTGAATTAAATGTTTATGAGATACTTATAATTGTTGAACTAGTCTGTAATTTAATGTCGAAACAATGTAGATATGTTACGTGGTTTATTAATGAATAAAATTATATGAATTGAACAATTGTTTTGATACTTTATTCTCACTAGTGAATTATAGGTTTCAGAAATATTATATATGAGATGTCAGCATCTGCCATAAAATAATAGAAAATGTCTAAAAGGTCATATATGTTTATCAATCGTTTATCAATCGTTTATCAAATCATATTTGTGCCCACTTGTTTCGGAAAGTTATAATTATGATCCCTGGCTGAAGGTCCGTCATCTTTTAAGCAGCCCATTAACTAGATCATAATGTTGTTCATTCACATGTAGCATTGCCTAGTGACACTTTACTGAAGGTACCCGAGTGTTTCCCTCGGCCCATAAGCTATGTATAACTTGCCCATATACGGTCAAAGCCGGTCAATATTGTATCCACTTGTTCATTTAGGTGAGAGATTTTAGAGTTCGAGTTTGAATGAAAA